TATTTTTTGGGTGTATTTTTTTGAAGGTATTTTATTGGGTGTATTTTTATGGAATTTTTTGTCGCTTTTAGATTTTACATTTTAATTTTATATTTATTTGAAGCTACTATTTTAAATTTTAAAAGATACTGTTGAATTTTTTTGGGTGCAATTTTTTAGGTGTATGTTTTGGGTGTATTTTATTGGTGTATTTTTTGGGTATTTTTTGGGTGTATTTTTTGGATATATTTTTTGGGTGTTTTATGGGTGTTTTTTGGGTGGATTTTTTTAATGTATTTTTTTTAAATTTTTTGTCGCTTCAGGTAAAATGTTTTTATCTAGAATATATAAGTGACTTTTACATTTATTTGAAGCTAGTAATTTAAATTTTAGAAGTAGTCAATTTAAAATAACGGTAAAAGGTCGAGAAACGCCGTACTTGACGAGACCACTTGTCTCCTACGTATTTTGGGGCGCTGATTACGAAAATGAGGGTTAACACTGGCAGCAATGGTTGGAACACCCCTAAAATTGCATAAAACATTCCTAAATAGGGGTGTTTTTTGACTGTACTTGTTGTTTTGCAAACTAACTCATCTCATATGTTTTTTGGGGCGCTGATTACGAAAATCGGGGTTAAAACTTGCAGCAATGGTTGAACCACCCCCAAAATCTACCGGTTGGGAGGGGTGTTTCTGGCATGTGGGGGGTGTCACACAAATTTTCCAGTCTCGACACCCCGATTTTCGAAATCAGCGACCCAAAAAACATATGAGATAAGTTAGTTTGCAGAACAACAAGTACAGTCGAAAAACACCCCTAATTAGGTTGTTTTTGCAATTTTAGGGGTGGTTCAATCATTGCTTTAAGTTTTAATCACGATTTTCGTAATCAGCGCCCCAAAAAAACATATAAGATGAGTTAGTTTGCAAAACAACAAGTATAGTCAAAAAACACCCCTATTTATGGGTGCCACTCCCCTATTTATGGGTGTTTTTTGCAATTTAAGGGGTGTTCCAACCATTGCTGCCAGTTTTAACCCTCATTTTCGTAATCAGCGCCCCAAAATACGTAGGAGACAAGTGGTCTCGTCAAGTGCGGCGTTTCTCGACCTTTTACCGTTATTTTAAATGGACTAAAGATACTGTTGAATTTTTTGCGAAATTCTTTATCGATACTGAAATTTTTTCTTTAGGTACACCTTAAGGCTATACAGACATTTTTTGTTAGAAACTAGTACGACTTATATTTTTTTCTAGTAAACAAAAATATACCTCATTACGGATTTTATTTTGAAATAAAAGATCTCACTGCGGAATTTATTTAGAAATAAAACTTATTAGTGAATTTTATCGACATTCTTTTTTGATAATTAGTATATTTTTTTATTTGATTGGAATTAATTTATTATTTATCGTATCGTATCTACAACAAATTGAAGATAATTAATTATTGACTAGGTCATCATTAATTTGTGAAAAATAATTTTTTCGCGTATCGTAGATTCGATAGTTTTTACTTTATTTTATTTTAATTTATGTGAACTTGATTCTCGTCGAATATTTTATCTAGTTTTTTGTTGACTGTTGTTTATTTCGCATCGATGAACTTTAATAGATGTTTTTTAATAATTATGGATTTAAACACGTTAACTACCTTAACTGTTTTTAAGGAAATGCAAACAATTTTAAATGTTTTGTTGGTTTATTGCCGTAACGATTGATGTGTCGTAAATAGATTCGTTGTTTTTATTTTTTTGTTTCGCTGTCAACTATGTTTTTGTTTCTCGAACTATTTTAAATTTTTGTGTACCGGTATTCTCACTAATATTTCTGAGTTCACCGTTGTGGGAATTAAATCGATATATTTATTGTCTTTTGCCTTATCGATCATGCATTATATTTTCCAGTAGGAATTAAGTTGATATGTTGTCTTTTGTCTTATCATCCCTGTTAGGTTATCTTTGGTGTTAATTTAACTGTGATATGTCACTGTACTAATTAAACATTAATTATTACTAATTAATGCTTAGTATATTACACCTGTGCGGACTAGAGTCATCGCTGGTTGCTTGACATAAAACATAGGAGAAATAAAAAAAATAAAAAAAAACTAATTTACCTAACTTGTGCGAGAGCAATTAGTACAATTTAAATGGCCTCAGGTCGCACAGGTTAGGTAAATTGGTTAAGTTTTTTATTTTTTTCACTTTTATATATATATTTTGTAAAGCAACCTTGACGTCTTGACAGGTTAGGTCCATTAGGCATTTTTATTTCTTCTCACTTTTGTAAAAAAAATTGCAAGGCACATCGCAAAGGCTCCATGCCGCACAGGTCAAGTAAATGAATTAGTTTTTTATAAAAAAACCTATTTTACCTAAATTTTCCATCGGGAGACAACTCGACCTTACTGAAAAACATATTTTGTGCAAATTAATCCCAATGCTTTGATCTCAAAGACGATAAATAATTGAGATTTGCCATTAGTACATAATTTGACGATAATCGCTGAGTTTAGTTTCCCTGGTGAAAGGAATTAAACAGACGGTTGCATGGTGTCGCTTGACTTTTTTATATTGTACCATTTTTTAATTTTGTAATTTTGATTTTTTCCACAAAATCGCCCTAAGCAATCGTTTTTGGTATCATAAAATACAACACTCAGCAAAATAATTTAGTTAAATAAACTTTGCTGAATTTAACTTTTTCTCCAAAAACCTATTTGGACTACTTATAATTTTGAATATTTTTGGATTTTTATTCCATCCAAAATTACAAAATTAAAAAATATATTTAAATAATGAATATCCACCTTTGAGTTTAAATATCTCAAAAACCAATCACTTCATGAGTTTTCAATAAGAGTACATTAAAAAATGTGAAAATATAGTCCAAATAAGTTTTTGGACAATGGCGTAAAATATAGAGGGAATGAAAGTGTTATTTATCCGTTTTGTACGCCACTGGTAAAGTTTATTTAACTAATTGCTTTGCCTCTAGGTGTATCTTATGACACCAACAATGTATACCGAATTTAGTAAAATTATACTAAGAAATAAAAAAATTATAGCCATTATTAATTTTTGAATTTTCAACTTTAACACCCTGTAATTCGGAAACCAGCAATATTTTATCTAAGCATGTTTCGCTTAATCGTCTTATTTTTAATCAAAAAATCTTCAGTTATTCTGTGTCCCATTCTTAATGAGTTACCCTGTATTTTCGATTAAATGTCATTCGATAAAATGTATTTTCGATAAAATTTCCAATTCGATCTGTTTTTTTGATCAATTTTATGCCACCCGTTATTAGTAGATCAAGATTGCCCATATAAATTAGTAAATAAGTATTTGAAACAAATTAGTGTTGTATTAAGTTACAAAAAAATGAAGGTGTAAATAAATTAGTGATTATAGTGTTAATAAATTAAATAATAAACTGTCTTAAATAAATAAATGTTATAAATGCAGAATTAGTATTATATTATACTACTCAGAAAATTATATTTATTATTCATAATAAATATTGCACCAATTTAAATTTGATCAAATTTAATTATTCATACTTTGAAGTTTTTAGTCGTTTTCTTATCAAATTAAACATTACTAAAAGCATGGAACGTAATAATACTTGTATAACCTTAAATATACATTTTGCTACCAGACTATTCACTGTGAGACAAAGGGGTTCTGGTCTAGTTAAAAGTAGAAATTCTGATTTCTAGGGACAAAACCATATTGGATATATTCCGGGATTTGCTCTGGTAAATTATAGACAATATTCTCCCAAACAAAGCCAATGTGACAATAAATATGGATGCGGTGTTTTATGAAGGGCTACGATGGTTTTGGCGTTTTATGTTTTTGAGTACGATTGAGTGGGTCGTATTTCATAAAATCATGAATAAGTTACATTTATGTGAACACTTTTTTAAATTCAGTCAATTGCACCGAGAAAATCAGAGAATAATCCCAGAATTAAATGTTCATTTATACAGGGTGACTCTGAATATGTGGGCAATCTCCTGGATTCAGATAATAGATATAAAAATTCCATCACAGTTCCTATGTTTTTTCTGGAGATACGGGCTCATAACAGACGCGCTTGGAAAATTATAGTGGTGTAATTTAATAATCAGTACACGTCAAAAAAAGACAGAGCAACTAAGAAGGAATTTTATCGACATAAGTAACCAATCCAAAAAAACCTTATTAATTAAAAATATATATTTATATATAACTTCATTTTATCTATAAAGAATAACTTTTTTAGTTTATTTATTTATTTATTTATTTATCATACAAGGTGTAAATAAAATAGACCTTTCATCAGATGCAACTGAAACTGGTAACTTAAGTAAGATTCTTGATGCTATGGTAACATCACGTTCCGAAGAAAAGAGCAATAAATCAAATTTTGTTCTATTCTCACTTTTCTCGAAATGGATAATAAATCTAATTCACTAGCCCCCAAGAAAATTGTAATAACTTAAGTTCTACCGTGATCCAATAGATTGCCCAAAACTCACTATTCTTCGAAACAGGTACATCCGCATCTTCCGGTGATAACAGTAGTAAATGGTAGTTGTCACGGTACGCTTCGTGGTATTTTGCTAAATTTCCGATGAAAAGCGTAATATTTGTAGTTATTGCTGTTTAGTTCGGAAATGTTTTAAATTGTTGTTTCGTCTTTTCCGAGTAAAAGTGTAACATTTTCAGTTGCTACTTTATTCTTTTGAGTATCTTGCCAATATTCCCAATTTACGTCAGCAGAAAAATGTGGTATTTGTAGTTAATACTATTTTCTTCGGTAAGTATTTAAAAACATATTTATATCTTTATTAGAATAATGTAATATTTGCACTTGTTACTGTTTTCTTTAAAACTTTCCGATCAATGTACGTTTTATTTTTAGTTATTACTGTTTTCTTGGGAATTTTATAAACATAAACAAACTTTTTGTATCATTAAATTAGGTACTTTCTTTGATAGTAAACAGTGTATTTTATTTATAGATAAAATGAGTTCGAGGGCAAGACGAATGGTGGAGGTTGTTTTATGCAAAGATCAAAATCAGCCTGTTAATGAAAAAGAAAATAATCACCAGCAAGTAATTACTGATACTTTTCGAGAGAAACAAGAAGAGTCATTCATGGTTGTAGTCGCATGTTTAGACATGAAAGCAGTGTTCCAACTTCCAAAAGGTGATACATCAATATTTTATTACAGGTCAAAACTAAATACAATGAATTTAACCATTACTGGATTAGCAAAGGATGAGACATGGTGCTTCGTATGGCATGAGGGCGAAGGAGGAAAAGGAGTAACCGAAGTGGCCTCATGTATTTAGATGTATCTTGAGGATAAGGCTAAAACAGGTAATTCTGAAAATTTGGAAATTATCCTTTATAGTGACAATTGTGCATCCCAACAAAAAAATAGGTACCTACCTAAAATCAAAATTTAATTGAACAGATTTCTTTCATTGTTTCTTTTATTGTTTCAGATTTTTGATAGCAGCACTCATTTATGCAGTACAAAAAATCAAAATTAAAGAAATTAAGCATAAGTTTCTTATTGTTGGGCACACCCAAAATGAGGGGTACTCCACACATTTCGTTATTGAAAAACAGGTATTAAATGGAAAATAGCCACAAATAAAAAGGTTTCTCAATAAATTTAAAAATTATTATTTTTTAGGTTTCACGAAAAAAGGGGAGCCATACCGAGTAAAAGAGTTAACTCATGAGGATTTTGTGAATATTAAACAGTTGATGACTGACCTGGGACCAAATTTTAACATAAATTCAGATGAAGAGCAGATACCAATTTACGATCTTAATAGTTGTCAAAGTCGAGAAGGAGAAACCATTCAAGTTTTTTTTATAAAACTTCTTTTACTCAACTAGACTTCAAAGCAGTGGATATTCTTAAACGGCCACGTGCCAATGCTAAACGCAACCAACAGCTCACAACTAGCCATTCACAGTTGCCGACTTTAAAAAAGGCTTACAGTTCTAAACGACAGTTAAATTAAAATAAAAGAGAAGATCTTCAGTTTTGTTAAAAAAATGGTATATTCCAAAATATTACCAGATGTTTTACGATTCAATACGTTAAAAAATCCAAAAAATCAAAAAAACATTTCAGTTTATGTTCTTCGTTGTTCAAAGCTGTTCTAAAATAAAAAAAAATTATTTTAAAGAAAATGTGTCTTTTTTTTGGCTATAAATTATAAATATTTTTCGAAGAAAACTGTAACAACTCAAGATTTTCACAAAAAATACTCATTTCAAAATACCATTTTTTTTTTAAAGTGACTTGAGAAGATTCTAAATTATCTTTTATTTATCCTTTAATTGATCAAATTTGAAAATGCATAAACTTCCATAAGGTTTTTCTATTAGCATTTTAAAATTTGACAATTGTTTTTGCGTAAAATTATTGTAAAATTTAGTTTTTTTGATTTATTACACTTTTCTTCGGAACGTGCGATATGAGACCATTTTCAAAAATATATTCCAAATTATTTTAAGGCTGTCTCATATCTTTTTTGTAGAATATAAACGTAAAATATGTGATTCCATCACGTTTCTTATCAAAATATTGCACTTTTTATGTACTAGAAATAATTTCTAATTTAAGTTTGACACCACACATCCTTCTGGTAATCCAGTTATAAAATAGGGTTCTAAAACATAACAAATAGAGAATACGTACAGTCATCGTCTGTTTAAAGTTTTATTAGGAACAAAACCAAGGAAGTTCCTCCTACATCGTAATCTAAGGAATACAGACTTGGATTCTGCCACAGGATTAGGACTCCTTGTCTTCATTGGTCCGGCTGTCCTCAACACTGCTGGGTCCTGAAAATCCTGATACGGTGGATTCTCTCTATAAACTAGCTGACAAGGATTTTTATATGTTCACATTAGGGTGTGCGCTATAATAAAAATGAAATAGGTAGGAATTTCTACAAGTAGTAATGTAAAGATTTTATTGTGTTTTGAGAATGTGTTGCATAGTAGTAAATAGCATGATGTTTATTATCAACAAAAAATTTAGTTCTTGTTTCCACATAAAATCGTGTGGAATAAATATACCGGATGTATCCTTTCCGTGAAAAATATATTTGAGGTGCATTTAAAGTTACTAATTTTAAAATATCCTTGATTCACTTTTTATTATTTGCTATTTAAACACCGCACTCTACAATTAAATAGGTAGGTATTATTTTTAGGTACACATTATATAATTGGTTAATTTTTTGACGTTTGTTATATTATTTAGTTTGAAATATCGATATCCCAATTTTCAAAAAATGTCCAATTTTTGTCAAAATTGAGATTTTTCGCACTTTGTACACACGCGACTAAGCTACCTAATAAAAAACTTACAGCTGAGAAAACTATTTCTTATTGAGAGAAAAATTTACATTACAAACTGAAAGACCTGGGGGCAACGGCAGTTTAGTAGGTATAAAAATTACAACTTAAGGGTGGAGCTTAAATACTACAAAATTACTTCTGAGACTATAGCATTGATTTATAATTGCAACAATTGCATGTAGATACGTGGGATACATATTCTAGACACTAACCCGCGAAATTGAGACAAAGGAACCGAAAAATATTCCACAATAGCAAAAAATAATATGTATTTTACAATAATTGTCCGAGAGCAGAAAAGCGTCCATTATATTTTTAACCGACTTCAAAAGAGGAGGAGGTTCTCAATTCGTCGTCGTAATATATTTTTTTTATGTTTGTTTAGCGATAATTCTTTACCATCACGTCCGACTTATATGATTTTTTTTTTTTAGTAAGGGGGTACCTCAGGGGTAGTCCTATATAAATTTGGTTAAAATAAAATAATTGGATCCTTTAGAAAATTCTCAAAATCTTCATTTTTTATGTATGTTTAGCGATAATTCTTTACCACCACGTCCGATTTATATGATTCTTTTTTGTTAGTAAGGAGGTAGCTCAGGGGTGGTCCTATATAAATTTGATTAAAATATAATAATTGGATCCATCAGAAAATCCTCAAATTCTTCATTTTTTATGTATGTGTAGCGATAATTCTTTACCACCTCGTCCGATTTCTATGATCCTATTTATTAGTAAGGGGGTACCTCAGGATCCTATATAAATTTGGTTAAGATGTAATGATGGTATCTGCATGATTTTGAAGTCGGATTTTAAAATTTTAAATTTTTAATACTTGTGAATTTCGTTTTTCTATTAGACATTGTCACAGTTCTATACTATCATTATAATGTTTTATAATTAATAATGGTAGTCTCTTTGTCTTTTTCAATTATATATAGTACTTTTAGAAAACCGATTCCTGCAGGATAAAGCTTTGAGATCCTTCTTTGATACGCAAATTTTTACTTTTCTGTTTTCTATTGATAAAATAATACTTCTATTTCATTAGATGAAATTTTGATCTATATATGTAACTTTCTTTTCACTTTGGTGGTATAATATTATTTAGTATTACTCTTTTGTGTTATTCTAACTTTTAAGGGTACCAAAGGCAAAGCAAGTTATACACAAAGTCTTATAACCTATATAACATAATATAACATATATATAACATATATAACCATAATAATAATAACAATAATAATAATGTTTATTCATCTTTAAAAAAATATATATATATAAAATTACATAAAAATATAAATATAAAGGACGAATAAACATAAATTATCACAAAAGTAGTGTAGAACCACTTGTATGTGATACAAACAATATAATCAAATAAACAATACATTTAATGCACCTCTTAAACAACATTTTATAAAAATATGAATTTTGTTGCCATAATATTTATTTATCAGCTGTGATATTAACATTCCACAAGGAAAACCTATCTGTAGTCCGTCAATATACAACTGACAAAATTTTAATTTTAGTTCAAGTGTGTTTTTCTTTTTGAGGATCTTAAGGTGAGTATATAATTTTTTTATATTTATTTTTTTTTAAATAAAGTAATTTTCAATCATTTCATGTATCGTTAGTCGAGAGTGTTGTAGTCTTATTGAATTAATAATTTTTGTTTCTGTTATATAATTTTGGATCCATGTACCAAAAACTTCTCTGGGTAATCGTCATTTTGTTGCTTTAATATCGGAAAGGAATTAAAAAAAAAATTACTATTTACCTTTATACAAAGCTATTACAATTGGCTATTACGAATTTTTAAATGAACTAGGTTTTTAAAAAATATTTTCTATACCTGTTGTTTTTTATATTCAAGCGGATTTATAATATTCATGAGTGAGTTAGTTAAATGAAAAGGTACTTTAGTTTTATAATATGTAAGATCAGATATAATGTTTCAGCACATTATTTATATTTTAATAAAAATTATATTTGTTGTTTAAATAATCTGTTATAATGAATCACCTAGGTACAGCTTCTGGAACAAATTCATAAAAAACCCGTATTGTTACACTGGCTATCAGCAGCCGAGTTGTGAGTTGCACAGTTAAAACAATTTATCCATTTGGGCAAAAACTACAAATGAATTGAAAGAAAAAAGTGATGAGTAACAAGTTTTTTATATCTCAATATCGGGTATAAGAAGTTACATAGAGAAAGTTTAATTCATATTTAGAAAAAAAAAACATGTTTAAATGAATATATTAAATAAAATATGACCATTCTTTAACTGAGATATATTTATTTGTATTATGAAAATAATGTTTATATCAACATACTTATATTCGGTAACAATTTGTAAAGATAACTCCTGTATAATGATAATATTAATATATAAAGATTTTAAATAAGGGCTTGAAATCACAGTTCGAAATTCCTTTTATTAACCATAATACTTTTTGGAATGAATTATGTATTAGTTCCTATTTTTCAGCTAAGTTCCATAAATCAATTCATATATTAATCTGAACGGTACTCAAGAGCAACTAAGTTGCAACAACTAAACAATACAATGAACTTTTAAAATGAAATTCAATTTATATTTGGAATAAAATAAGTTAGCTAAAATTGTTGACCGTATGAAGTTATAAATAATTACGTTACTAAGATTCATATGTAAATTTTCAATTTATATTGATGTGATAGTTACTTATCTGCGTTTTACAATATCAATACTTGGCTTGGCTATGACACAAAACCCTGTGTAGTAAACCTTCTAATACGAATCAGAATCTTCATATTTTAAAAACGTGTTCCACTATTAAAAATATTTGGTATAATAATTATATATAATCAATTGCCTCTGCCACTGGTAAAATCAGAAATTTAAAAAAGGGTATTATAAGAATAATAGAATAATAATTTAAATGGATCGCATACTACCATGTTTTAGAAATAAATAAAGTGTAACTCTTAAATTAATAAACATATTCCAAATAATTTAAGATTCCTTGCGTCATGTTAATAAAAATAAAACAAAATTTTTCACCATTTATTTGGTATTCTGTCCCGTACTTCCATATCTCTAATAACTCTGCTGTCAACTAATTCTGGTAAAGTATATAGCATATAAGAATGACGCTAAATAGGTGTAAAATAACAGAAATTTAATATAAAACAAATGAAGAGGCTAGACATACCAAAACTAGTCCAGAAATATTATTATTTTGAGTCTTTTCTTCCCAATATCTGTTATTATGAGGAATTTTCTCCTCGAGGAGTCCAAAATGCAAAAACCCATTTTAGTCCAGTCATTTAAGCTTAAATTAGGTAAGAATCTCGGAACTGGAGATACCCAGCTGTAAGTCTGTAAATACTTGTATATTGACACGCTAAAAGTTATTTCAAAACCTACATATGGTAGGGTGTACGCAACTATTAAATTTCAAGGTCAAATGTCACAAAAATCGGTTTTTTGCGCTTTTTTTGTAAATATCTCATTTTTTATGGGTTTTTTGCTATTTGTATTTATTATCAATATTGTAGAATACAAAATTCTCTACAAATTTTGTTTAAAAAAATTCAGATTACAGTAAGAACGTAAAAGCTATGGAGCAGCAGAGAATATGAAACAATAGTTGTACCAGTTACTCAAGAAAAATTCTTATCAAATCGAAATAACAAAGATATGCTCATTAATAT